TAAGTGACAAATCTTTCCAAAAATCAGCCTGTAAGGAGTCATTCCAATAGGAGTTTTATAAGCAGTCTTGTAAGCCCATAATGTAGTATCCAATCTAGTGGACCAATCTATTCTACTAGGGTTTACAGTCTTTTGAAGTATTTGTTTGATTTCTTTATTAGAAACTTCAGCTAACCCACTGGTTTTAATAATTATTTTTTATTTAAATTATAATTTCAATGTTAATGTTATTTTGGTTTAAATGATGGATATACTTGTTGCTAACTTGCATTTCAAATATGACTATTAAAGTGATAAATTTACATAGGTACCACATAATTATTATATATTTACATTTCTTACCATTAAAGCTTTCATATTTAAACCTATAATATTTTATTATTATAAATTTATACATGAAAGCTATATTTCACTTTTTAAAAATACATAATAGTAATATATTTTAAATGATATTAAAGATTTGGGTTTTATGCATATAAATATAAAAGTTTAGCATCATGTATGTAAATGATCCTATTAAAAAATAAATAAATATTGTTATTTAAAATCTATGTAGAGCTACTAACCCTTAAAAGAGACTAATAAGGAAATAGCTCAAAATCCACTACTCTTAATACATCTTTGATCGGATTGCTCTCTAGTTATATAATCAACAATTAATGTTTTTCAGCCCATTGACTCAATATATAAAAGCGATTCAAATTACAAATCTTATTTATTTTATATTTAAAGTTACTATTTAAATAATAGTTCTAATAGTTATTATATTTCATTAGAAAATCCATTAATTGTAATGCAAATAACTTTTAAGCTTGATTTTATGGACAAAACTATCATCAAACTAATTGTCGGATCTAATGATATTAAAAGTGATTTGATTCAACTCCAAATGAGTCTAAATTAGGCTTATAAATTGTGATAAAAAACTTGAAATAATTAATAATGATACGCCATCAACAATTTTTCATCATCTGACACGAATTTCGAGGCATGACACTGATCTCGATGCAATCTTGTGAGAAAAAATATTCGAACTTTAATTCAGACTCAACCAATGCTCCGACTTCAACAAACTTACAATCAAATTAATTGAATCGATGAGACGTACCTAATAATATCTAAATTTGTCAAATTCGAGTCAAATCAAGCTCAGATCAAGCC